ATCTGGCATGCTGCACCACGTAGGTGCAGGATGCCATGTGGCCCAGCAGCCTGAGACACTGCCTCGCTATGGTGGTGGGAAAGCTGCAAAGGCTGCTGATTATCTGCAAGAGGGCCAGATGCCACGCCTCTGGGAAGAACGCTCTCGCTTGATTGGTATCAAGGACTGCCCTGATGAACTCTATTCTTTGAGTCGAGGTGAGGACGGATTTGCTGACATCGAAAATGATGCCTAAGCGTTCGAACTTGACTCTGACCATTTGCACCTGTGATTCCACCTGCTGACGAGAGCAGCCTCGGAGGAGCCAGTCGTCCAGGTAAGGGTAGACATGCATGCGATGGCGGTGAAGGAACGCTGCCACGACCGCCATGCATTTGGTGAAGCCGCAGGGAGCCATGCATAAACCGAATGGGAGAGATGTGAATTGATAATGTACCTTGTTTACCATGAAGCAGAGGAACCATCTGTGAGACAGGGTGATAGACATGTGAAAATAGGCATCCTTCATATCGAGGACGGCGTACCAGTCTCCCGGATCCAGAGAAGGGATGATTGTGCTCAAGGAGACCATGCGGAACTGCTAAGTACCCTCAGGTCCAGAAGTGGCCTTAGGCCTCCCTTTGCTTTGGGGACAAGGAAGTAACGGGAGTAGAAACTCTTGCCTTTGAGCTCCTGGGGCACCTCCTCCACTGCTCCTAGAGCGAGGAGGATCTGAACCTCCTGGATGAGAAGTAGCTTGTGAGAGGGGTCCCTGAAGAGGGACGGAAAAGGGGGATGGGAGGGTGGGGAGGAGCAGAAGTGGATAGAATATCCAACCTCTACTGTGCGGAGCACCCACCTGTCCGACGTAATAAGGGACCACGCACGGTAGAAGCGGGATAGACAGTTCACAAAGGGAGGATAAGTGGCCGGGTTGTGGACTGGTAATCCGTCCTCGTGCACACCTTCAAAAGGGGTGCTTAGGGCCTGGAGGGGGCTTGGACTAGCCCTGGCCCTGCCCAGGAGGGCGGCGCGACAGCCTTCACCGACTATATCTATTCTTCCTGTGGGAGAAGTCCTGCCTGGGCCTAGTGGGGAAAGACAGCTGCTGGGTGGTCTGCACTTTGAAAGCCTTCCTTTGGGTCACCGAGACATGCATGCCGAGGGACTTAATGGTGTTACGGGAGTCTAGAGTTTGTCTGCTCAGGCCATCAAATGGGAGGTCCTGAATTGTTTGCTGAACTTCAGGAGGGAGACCCGAGGATTGGAGCCAGGCATTGCGTCTCATCGTGATACCCGACGCAAGGGTACGTACTGCCGAGTCCGCGGCATTCAAAGAACCCTGGAGGGGAGTCCAGGCTACTATTCTGCCCTTCTCAGCGATGGCCCCCAGTTCAGCCCTTGACTCAGATGGGAGAAGCTCTTTGAACTTTTGAATTGCAGACCATGCATTGTAACTGTACCTGCTCAGGATCACAAGCTGGTTAGCGATCAGGAGAGAAAGGACCCCTTTTGAATAAACCTTCCTCCCAAACAAATCAAGGCGTTTAGCGTCTCTTGATTTGGGCACGGGCCACTGCTGACTCTGCCTCTCTTTTTCGTTCACCGCCTACACAACAAGGGAGCATGGAGGGAGGTGGGTGAAAAAATATTCGTACCCTTTAGTGGGAACAAAGTACTTTCGTTCGACCCCTTTGGCCGTAGGGGGAATGGAGGCAGGCATTTGCCAAATAGTCTTGGCGTTAGACTGGATAGTCTTTAGCACAGGTAAGGCCACCCAAGAGGGACCCTCTGGTGCCAGGATGTCCACCACAGGGTCCTCGTCCTCTACCACCTCCTCCACCTAGAGGTTCATATTTAGGGCCACCCTTTGGAGGAGTTCCTGCCGTGCCCTGTAGTCCATGGGTGGTGGACCGGATGTGGAGGTACCTGCCACCGCCTCGTCAGGAGATGACGAGGAAGAAGCCACCGGTAGGACCGGTTCCGTGGCGGCCTCCTGATCCTCTGGGACCGGTTTCTCCCGAACCCTGGTGTAGCCTCCACCGGGGGTGGGGTTGGATCCAGGTTCTGCGATGGATCCTGAGGTGGACAGCTGATGGTTGCCTCAGGGAGGCAAGACCCCGAACGGGATGGTGGGGGAACGCTTTGGGGGGGCACTTTGGGCCTGATGGTATGTCTAAGGGGTCCAGAATTACCACTGGGGTTGCCAGTGGGGCACTGAAGCGTCCTGTCTAAGACTTCCCGGCCCTGATCTGGGCACTTCCGATGCCCCCGACGCTCTGCTTGACCTGAGGGAGGCCAACTTTGAGTGGGAAGGCCAAGGGGTGGCGGTGCGGTACTATCCCAAGGAAGCCTCCTCCTCGAATGGATGGAATGAGTGCCGTGGGGAATAACGAGGACCAAATAGTGACTGGTGGTGCTGCTGCGGGGAACGGCAGCGAGATGTGGAGCGGTGCCAGGAGGTCGATCGGTGCTACGAAGTGGGGCTTCATCTTGGTGGGGAGCGGTGCTGCGATTGAGGCCTGAGCTGAAGCGGGGACTGGTGTCTGGAGCGGGATCTGGAACGGTGCTGCAAATGGGAGCGGTGCCGCGACGTAGAGTGACAACTGGGAAGTGCAGTCCGAGGTCGATGCGAGCGGTGCCGCAAGATCACAGATTGGGATCTGGACCTCGAGCAGGACCACGACCTCTCAGCCGATGACCACCTCGAGCGGGAATGGCTCTGAGGGTCGGGGCTGCGAGACCAGTGCCACAAGTCAGACTGGCGTGGGGCATAAGTGCGGCGCCGGGACTCAGAACGGCGCAGAGATCCTGGTTGGGGGGCAGACGGCCCGCACATAGCCGGTTTGCCTCTTGACAGTGCCGGGCCTTGGGGTAGCGGAGGCCTTGAGACTGGGGACTTGGGCGCCGTCATTTCGATAAGCCCCTAGTGGCCTCAAAAATGTCCAGTGTGGAGGGTAGCATGACTGGAGCCGCGGGGAGTCCAGGAGCGCGGGGAGTCCAGGAGCGCGGGGCTTCCTGGGGAGACAGGGGCCCATGAAGGTTGAACCTGACCGTAGGCCCATACTCCGCACCATGCCCTGCCAAGGCTGCAGTTTCCATGTCAGGCCGTTGTGGAGGATTGTCCTTAGCCTACTTTTTGTGGGCAGCCGATGAGTGGGAGTGGTGTCAAGGGGAACGCTTCTGTGCCCCGGGACACTGCCGGCCCCTGGGAGGGCATGCTGAGTCCTTTTTCGGTGCTGTGGACAACACCGACGGAGGAACGCTCCACACCAAGACGCTCGGGGCCGGGTCCTGCTGCGGATGGAAGGCAGACTCCATGAGGAGTTGTTTTAAAACAAATGTCCCTCTCCTTTCTAGTGCGAGAGTTGACGGCCTTGCAGATCTTGCACATGTCCGCCTGATGGGCTTCTCCCAGACATTGGAAACAGGAGTCGTGGGGGTCGCCCACGGGCATAGGTTTGGCACAGGAGCTACAGGGTTTGAAGTCCTGGGATGCATGCCCCAGAGCCCCGCGAGGCCCTCGTTGAAGGGGAAAAAAACCCCCCAACCACTAAAGACTACAATTAACAACTAGAAGAGAACAATTAACTAACAATGGGTAACTATATATAAAGATAAGCAGAAGAGCTAGGGATTAGTGGAGCACTTGAGAGCAAGAGACCACTGTTCCAACAACCGTCACTGGCGGTAAGAAGGAACTGAAGGGGTGTCGGGCTGGCAGGGTTGTATATAGAGCGCTATATTGGTGCCACTCCAGAGGGCTCCACAGCCGGCCTGATGGGTAGCTACTAGAGAAAAGTTTCTGACAGCAGTGCACACGGCGTGTGCACACAACTAACTGGAATTGATATGAGCAAGCACTCGAAGAACAGATTGACAGAGCCAGAAGGGTACCCAGAAGTCACCTACTACAGGACAGGCTGAACAAAGAAAGTAACAGAACGCCACTAGCCGTCACCTACAGCGCCCAACTAAAACCTCTCGAGCGCATCATCAAGGATTTTCAACCTATCCTGAAGGATGATCCCTCACTCTCACAGACTTTGGGAGACAGGCCAGTCCTCGCTTACAGACAGCCCCCCAATCTCAAGCAAATACTCAAAAGCAACTACATACCACACAATGAAACACTAACCCAGGAACCAATCCCTGCAACAAACCCTGCTGCCAACTCTGTCCGCATATCTATTCAAGGGACACCATCATAGGATCTAACCACATCAGCCACACCATCAGGGGCTCATTCACCTGCATATCTACCAATGTGATATATACCATCACGTGCCAGCAATGCCCCTCTGTCATGTACACTGGCCAAACCGGACAGTCTCTACGCAAAAGAATAAATGGACATAAATCAGACATCAAGAATTGTAACATTCAAAAACCAGTGGGAGAGCACTTCAATCTCCCTGGACACTCAATAACAGACTTTAAAATGGCAATTCTTCAACCAAAAAAATTCAAAAACAGATTCCAACAAGAAACTGCAGAACTGGAATTAATTTGCAAACTTGACACCATCAAATTAAGCCTGGGAGTGGATGGGTCACTACAAAAAATAATTTCCCCTCTCTTGATACTCACACCTTTTTGAAAACGGTTGGGAATGGGCAACGTCCCCCTTGATTGCATTGGCCTCGTTAGCACTACAAAAGTAACTTTCCTTCTGTTGATATTCATACCTTTTTGTCAACTGTTGAGAATAGGCCACTTCCACGTTAACTGAATTGGCCTCGATTGGATTACCACTTGGTAAAGCAACTCCCATCTTTTCATGTTCTGTAATATATATACTGCTTACTGTATTTTTCATTCCATGAATCTGATGAAGTGGGTTTTAGCCCACGAAAGTTATGCCCAAATAAATTTGTTAGTTAGTCTCTAAGGTGCCACAAGGACTCTTCATGTTAGTCTGTATCAGCAAAAACAACAGCTACCACTCTGAAACCTGTAGGCACATTAGAACTAGACAATTTTTGTTCTTTCAGACTAGGAATCACTTAAGTGACACTTACTTGAGACTCTCCTGTGAACTTGAAGATGACCTGTCTGACTGAGGGAGAGATGCTATACTGCCAGAATTCTTCAAGTAAGTCTGGAGACTTCTTTGATAGGATGGCTCAAGGTTATTGTACAGGGCCTCTGCTTCTCCAGGAAAGTGACTTCTAAGACCCAGGTAAGTCCTACAAAACAAAAGAACAGCCAGGTAGAACTGCTACAGGGTTTTTTGTTTTTTAAACTACATAGAAAAAATGAAAATCCAGCTGTGACACAGGCTAGAAAGGGTTACACAACTAGCATGCTAATTGACCCAAATTCAACGTTTATAAAAGTGTTAAAAAAGTATGTAAATGGTAGTTATGGCCATTTCATGTTAAGATAGACTAGAGCTTTGAAATGAAAACTTGTATTGTTAGAGAATTAGAGGTAATAGTAATTGAATGTGTTTACTTATATCTGGTTAATGTTAACCATGTAAACAGTTTCTATTGATTCAGAGATCAAAAGGGAGTATTAACATTTAGATGAAACTTGGGTATGATAACATCACTGTCTATATTTCACTTTGAAGTTAGTAGTAAACTGTCTATTGCTTAATGAATAATTACTTAATTGCTTAATGAATAATTACCTTATACTAATCATTGTAGCTAACTACCAGTGATGCTTAGGAAAGAGAAGGTTACTTCAAAAGACTATTGTTCACACAAGAGGCTGCAAAAAATCTCTATAAAAACGCTTGGGACCTGATCCTTTCATCTCAAATCTGCTTATGCTTCATCAGGGGAAGCTTGGACCACAAGACTGAGATCTCCAGTGCCATCTGGATCACCTCGATATTGAACATTGGACTGAACCTATGGACTAATTCTAAAAGAACTCTGTACAACTCGAAAGCTCACCATCTCCACTATGAAATTGACCTAAGATCAACATTCATGTCTGTATGTATAATGATCTTTTAAACCAATATTCTCCCTCTTTTCTTTGTAAATTTTAATTTAGTTAATAAGAATTGGCTATAAGCATGTATTTGTGTAAGATCTGAAATATTCATTAACTTGGTGGGTAATGTGTCCGATCCTTTGGGACTGGTAGAACTTTTCATATGATGAACGAGATTGTCAATAAACCTCATCATATTTGACTTGGCTGTCTGGGTGGGAGCCCAAAGGCTGGGTTGCTTTTAGAGAACTGTGTTTTTTGGCTTCTGGGTAACCAGTAATGTATTGTAGAAGCTGTTTTGTTGTTGGCTTGGTAAATCTAAGTATCAGAATAACCACCAGTTTTGGGGATTGTCTGCCCCATTCTTTGCAGTTTGCCCTAATTGAGCAATCTCAGCATGGCTCCCAGTTGCACCAGCACTGAAATATGTGCTGAATGCTTCTCCACTAGCCAGGTTATGAAGGCATCTAGCACAAAAGTCTGAACTAATCTTTCCGAAATAACTTTATTCCTCCCATCACATTCTCTGTGATATATCTTTTGATATTTCCTGCTCACTGAAGATACCCCAGAATATACCATCAAATATTAGTAGCCAATAGTATCTGTGATGTCACAGAATGATCCATTCTAAGAAACTTTCAGTGAACCAGCACAATATAAAGGGTATTTCTCAAAAGGGAATTTTTTAAAAAAGTTAGTTAAGATTTATGGTGATTTAATTTTGCTTCAAAATTTGCCTCTGAATTAAATTATTATTTTGGAAAACAGAAGGTGCTTGAGAAATAACATTGAGAAATACTAGATATTGATTCTGCATTTTAAACAGATGTACTTTTTCATGTAATTCAGAATTCACTGCACATTACACAAATGTAAAAGACTGGCCTGGTGGCATAGCAGTAGTGGTCTGCCTTAATGGTCTACAGCCAAACTAAAGCAGCCAAAGAGGAGTGAATTTAGCCCTCCCCAGTTCCATTTATCACAATCAGGTGAGGATTTCAAATCCTAACTGAGACCATTTGAATGCTAACAATAAGTACTGGCAGTTTTATTTTCATTGCTAGGCAGAGTGGTACAGTGGAGAGGCTACAGGACTGGGACTCAGGAGACCTGGGTTCTATTCCTGGCTCTGCCACTGACCTGTTGGGCAAGTCACTTCACCTCTCTGTGCCTCTATCAGGCAGATGGAGCTCATCCATGAGCGCAGACAGTTCACCTAGAAGAAGAAAAACTCTGATTTCAAACCAAATGTTCTGTCAGGCCTGGCCAGCTAGTTTGTGAAAATTGTGCCAATCACACATGCTCTATGAGACTGTATCACCACTGTCTGACAGGCAATGTGGTAGTATTGTCTTCCCTGCTCTGTGTTCTTTAAATGAAAGCAGGGAAATTAAATGCCACAAAGCTACGCTGATGCACGTTATGTTCACAGATTTAATCTACCAAAAAGAAAAATGTATGGTTCTTTAAGAAACTCTCACATTGCACACACCGTACATTTTTTTTGTTTATATTTAACAGTAACTAGAAATTAAAAATGTGTGCTAAGTAAGGTGACCAGACAGCAAGTGTGAAAAATCGGGACGGGGGTAGGGAGATAATAGGAGCCTATATAAGAAAAAGCCCCAAATATTGGGACTGTCCCTATAAAATCGGGACATCTGGTCATCCTAGTGCTATGTGAGGTAGTGCTGCAATAAGAATTTTAACGTTTTCACTTACTAAACTTTGAGCATTTAAATCTATAAACTTAGTATCTGATGAAGGGATTTTTTATGCATTTTGTTTTAATGGATTTGAATGAGATTATGAAAAGAGCAGGGATTGAACACTAGCTTTATCCATTAATTTTCAGTTTTATTTCCTATACTTGTGTTTTATTCTTGTGTAACTGTATGTCTCCATGTGTGACAGGAAGTGAATCTCCTACAAAAAAAGAATCTTTTGTAACAGAAAATAATAAGCATTATTGTCACAAAGAAGGGCAGATTCCAAGTTAAAACCTTGCATGAAAAAGGCACCAATTTTAAATGGTCATTTTCATGCTACTTATATGCTTCCTTATTATATTTCAAAGGACTGTTAATTACCTTTATTGACAAAATATAGATAAGTATAATTTATTTTATTTTGTTGTCCCTGCAGAAAACAAGCATAGGAGGATGAGCAGAATTATCGTCTGTCTTAACAAAAGAACTGTTAGTTGTTCAATGATGTTTTGTACTCATGGAAGTAAGACTGATTAGGCAGAAATACTGATCTACAATACTTCCATTTTACTGAACTCATCAGATTTTCCAAAACAAAAACCAGTAACTCTTCTAAGCTTTACTAAATTAGGTAGGGCGTTTTGCATGGAAAAAAATGTTCATTTTAGGATTATATTAAATGATCAATTTTAACCATATTCTTCAGTGATTAACAGTTAAATACCTTAAGCATACAGTAACTCCTCACTTAACATTGTAGTATTATGTTCCTGAAAAATGCAACTAAGTGAAACGATGTTAAACGAATCCAATTTTCCCATAAGATTTAATGTAAATGTGGGGGGTAGGTTCCAAGGAAATTTTTTTGGGGCAGAAAAAAGGCATTATATACTGTACAGTACTGTACTGTGGTTGGGAAGTGCCTCTGGCTTACCTCACACAAGCACAGCGTGCTACAGGCAAGGATACTAGGAAGCACCTTCACAGCAGCAGCTTCCCCGGAGCAGAACAGGACACTGACTTTGCCAGGGGATGCTCCAGGCCTGCCTGTTCCCATCCTCCTCCACTCCAGGCCCACCTCTTCCCACCCCCACTCCACCTCCTCTCCGGAGCATGCCGCATCCCCGCTCTCCCCCCAGGAAAGTCCTAGGACTTAAGTGCTTAGGACTTTCTGGGAGGGAGGGGCAAGGGCGGCGATGCGGCGCTTCCCCGCTTCTCCCCCTCCCTCCCAGTGCTTTGGACTTTCTGGGAGGGAGGGGGAGAAGCGGAGATGCAGCCCCTTCCCCGCTCCTCCCCTTCCCTCCCAGAAAGTCCTAAGCGATGGGAGGGGGAGGGGAAGGAGGCGGAGAAGAGGAACTTGTGCAATGCTCCCTTGTAAAGTTGCTGTTCTTCCACAGAATCTTACAAGCAGTGGACAGAGCAGGCAGCCAAACGACGTTATAAGGGAGCATTGCACAACTTTAAACAAGCATGGTCCCTAATTGAGCAGCGACGTAACTTTGAAACAACATTAAGCAGGACGAGGTTAAGTGAGGAGTTACTCAATATATAGACTTCCCTTCCCTTGGTATAAAATGTCAAATCTTTTAATCAAGGTTACAAGTTCACTCAAAACTCTTACTTTCTTGCCTCCACTCTTGCCTCAGCATCAGCATCGTGAATGCCCTTTTTGATGGTTTCAACCAAGACAGTTGCATGCCTAGAAGACAATACCTCATATTAGTTTTTAATTTTACAAATTTAATTATACCAAGGTAATTTCTTACCTGTTAATTAAGTTTCTCTAAGTCATACAGAGTACATCTACACTGCAATTAAAAACCCGCGGCACCAAGTTTCGGAGCTGGGTCAAATGACTTAGGCTCAAGGGGTTCAAGCTGTAGGGCTAAAGATTGCAGTATACACATTCAGGCTCGGGCTAGAGCCTGAGCTCTGAGACCCGCCCCTCTCGCGGGGGCTCAGAGCCCAGGCTCCAGCCTAAGCCCAAATATCTACACTGCAATTTTTAGCCCCATAGCATGAGTCAACTGACCTGAGCCAGCTGCAGCTGTGCCATGGGTCTTCTATTGTACTGTAGACCTACCCACAGTGATCCTGATATTGGGTCTGGACCTTCCTTCTAGCAGATGCAAGTCAGGAAAGGGATCAGAGCCATAATGACATAACTATCCCTTTTTAAGATGCTTAGGCAGGCTGTCAGGCCCCAGCTATTCCTGGTTCGGAAGATGGAATCTGTGCCTGCATGCTTACTTGGGCCCATTGTTAAGACAGGCATGCTAGAAAGTACCTTTCAATTTTAAGGAGATGCATGTATAGTAAAGAAGTCAATATACTGATCAGTGATAGAAAATAGGCTTATCTTGAATAAGTACAAAGATAAAGTGTCTCCCCACTGTATTCCTTAAAAATTAGTTTTTGAATGATCAGTCTTTTGAAATCAATCAATCAATTAGTGCAGAATAAAAATAGCATACTACTGGATTGATAGAGAGGAGGCTACTCACCCAGTGTAGTAACTGACATTCTTTGAGATGAGTGTCCCTGTGGGTGCTCCACTCCAGGTGTTGGTGCGTCCCTGAGCCTTCGCTCGGAGATTTTAACAGCAGTACTCGTACCGGTCACGCAAGCGCACAGCCTGTCTCCCCCCCCCCCCGAGTGTACCTTAATAGTAAACATGCGCGACCGGTCTCCTCAGTTCCTTCTCTACAACCCCAACTCCGAAATAGAGGAGAGGAAGGTAGTGGAACACCCACAGGGACACTCATCTTGAAGAACATCAGTTACTGCATAGGGTGAGTAACCTCCTCCTCTTCTTCTTCGAGAGATGTCCCTGTGGGTGCTCCACTGCAGGTGATTGAAAAGCAGTGTATCTCAAGGAGGTAGGGACTTTGGATGTGGTAGGAATGCAGTAGGTAATACAGCTCTGCCTAATCGTGTTATCAGAGAGAGGTCCTTGAGTAAGGGCATAGTGCTTAACAAATGTGTGTTCAGAAGACCAAGTGGCCGCTTTACAGATGTCAGCCAGGGAAACTTTGCGTAGAAAAGCCATGGAGGTAGCCACAGATCTAGTGGAGTGAGTTCTGATGCCGGCTAGAGGCATCACTTTCTTTATCTGAAGCACAGTCGGATACACGCAGAAATCCAGTTTGAAAGTCTCTGGGTAGAAATAGGTGTGCCTTTGGAACGCTCTGCGATGGAGACGAAGAGTTCCTAAAGGGCTTGGTTCTATCCAAATAGAAGGACAAAGCCCTGCGTACGTCTAACGTAGGCATGGTAGATTCAAAAGAGTTTGCATGTGGTTTAGGAAATAAAGTCGGTAGGTGTATCGGCTCATTGATGTGGAACGACGAATGCACCTTTGGAAGGAATTTGGGATGTAATCGGAGGGGGGTTACCTTGTCCTTAACAAATAGTGTATAATGTGGGTCTGCCATGAGAGCTGCTATTTCTCTCCTGCCCGTCTGGCGGAGGGGATTGCCACTAGGAATGCTGTTTTCATAGAGAGGTGTAGGAGGGAGCAAGTGGCATGGGGGTCGAATGGTTGTTGAGTTAAGCAGGATAAAACTAACTGAAGGTCACACGGAGGGGTAGGAGATTTAATGTCCGGGTATAGGGATTGGAGCCCTTTGAGAAAACGCTTGGCGACTGGATGAGCAAAAACAGAGGTATCGTCGATCTTGTCATGAAAAGTTGTAATAGCAGCTAAGTGGACTTTGATGGAGCTGAAAGAAAGGCCCAATTGCTTGAGGTCTAATAGGTAGTCAAGTATGATTGGAAGAGGTGCAGAAGTAGGAAGAAGTTGTTTAGGTGAGCACCAGTGTGTGAATCGCTTCCACTTAAGGAGATAGGCGATGCGAGTAGATTGTGTTCTGCTATGTAGGAGCATTCTTTGAACCTGCTCAGAGTATGCTAGTTCATTTTGGGAGAACCCTGTAGGTACCAAGCTTTGAGGTGAAGCATGGACAGGTTGGGGTAAAGAAATCAGCCGTGTTGCTGCGATAGAAGGTTTGGAGTGAGGGGCAACGAGATTGGTGGGCAGATTGATATTCTGGTGAGGAACGGAAACCATGGTTGTCTGGGCCACGATGGGGCAATCAGAATTACCGTGGCACGAACTGTCTGTATCTTTGTTAGAACTCTGTGGAGAACCAGTATCGGAGAAAAAGCATATAGCAAGTCCTGGTGCCATGGAATCATGAACGCATCTCCCAGGGAATGTTTGCCCAGTCCCGCTCGGGAGCAAAATTCGAGACATTTCGTGTTTTTCACAATTGCGAAAAGGTCTATGGTTGAGTAGCCCCACATGTGGAATATGTTGTGGATGATTGTCTCGTTTATCTCCCGTTCACGATCCCAGGGAAAGCGTCTGCTTAATTCATCCGCTGTGGTATTCATAGCTCCGGGAAGATAGGCGGCTGATATCCGAATGTTGTTCGCAAGGCACCAATTCCAGAGCTTCATGCCTTCTGTGCAAAGCGAGTGTGAGCGAGCCCCACCCTGCCTGTTTACATAAAACATGCAGGCGATGTGGTCTGTCATTATCCATACATGTTGGTTCTGGATTAATGGGAGGAAGTGACAGCAGGTGTTGCGCATGGCTCAAAGTTCTAGGACATTTATGTGCAGGGAGGTTTCAGCTTAAGACCATAGCCCCTGGGCTGTGTGGTGGGACATGTGTGCACCCCACCCTGTGCGGGATGCATCGGTAGTCATTATGAGGGATGGAGCATCCTGGAGAAAGGGGACTCCAGAGCAGAGGTTGGAGGGAGCTGTCCATCATAGGAGAGAGTCTTTGACTCTGAAAGGTATGGATAGAGGCTTTTTTAGAGCGTGCACATTCGGTCTGTAAACCATGGCCAACCAAGCTTGGAAGCACCTCATGTATAGTCGTGCGTTTTGGACCACGAAAGTACACGAGGTCATGTGACCTGGTAGTTGTACACTGTCTCGAGCAGTGACCTGAGGACTGTTGCAGAGTTTCGTTGCCAATAATTTTATGGTGTTGAAGCAATCAGGCGGGAGAGATGCTATTCCCGTCCGGGAATCGAGGTGCTCTCCTATCAACTCCAGGTGCTGGGTAGGAGATAATGTGGATTTGTTTTTGTTTATTTGTAGGCCGAGGGATAGGAAACAATCGACAGTGAGCTGCGTGAATCGAAGCGCTTCATCGAGAGTTGAGGCTTTGAGGAGATAATCATTGAGGTAAGGAATTATGATAACTCCTTGTTTCCTGAGCTAGGCAGTGACTATGTCTAGGAGCTTGGAAAAAACACAGGGGGCGGTGGATAGGCTGAAGGGTAGCACCCTGTATTGAAAATGTGTCGAGCCGAGGGTAAAACGAAGGAAACGTCTGTGTGCCGGATGTATAGTCACATGAAAATAGGCGTCCTGTAGGTCGAGGGCTGAAAACCAATCGCCCTGCTCCAGCACTGGGATTAACGTGGTGAGGGTAACCATTTTGAACTTTTGCTTTTTGATAAATTTGTTGAGCCGCCTGAGGTCGAGGATAGGTCGCCATCCCCCGGTTTTCTTTTCTGTTAAGAAATAATGGGAATAAACCCCCTTCCCTCTGTGTCGTTCAGGCACAAGTTCCACTGCTCCCAATAGAAGATGTTGTACTTCTTGGATGAGCAATTGCTCGTGAGAGGGGTCCCTGAAGAGGAACGGGGAGGGTGGGTGAGTAGGAGGCAAGGATAGGAAAGGGATCGAATAGCCAATTGTGACAACCACTGTAACCCACTTGTCGGTGGTAATGTTCTGCCATTGATGGGAGAATGGTTGTAGGCGGTGTCCAAAAATAGGGACATGTGGTGTAAGCGCTGAAGTGGGAACGTTGTTTTCTAAACCCTCGACCAAGGCTTCAAATCTGCTCATTAATCGGAGGGGGTTGAGACGCTGCCGAGGAATTGGGACAGTGACACTGGTATCTGGGTCTCTGGCATTGCTGCTGTTGTCGTTGCTCATGTGATCTATGGAATTGCTGGGTATATGCGGGATAGCGTGGACGCTGGTAGGATTGATATCGATACTGTCGCCTTCTGATCGTAGGGGTTTGAATTCATAGAGACCGGAGAGTTGTCCTTGAGTCTCTCATTGAATGAAGTACGTCGTTCGTCGTGAAGGCAAAGAGTTTGTCGATGAAGGGAAGATCTTCAGTGGTATTCTGGACCTCTCAAGGAAAGGAAGAGGAGGAAAGCCATGAACCTCAGCGCATGACCACTACTGTAGCAGTGGATCTTGCTGCAGTGTTGGCTGCATCGAGGGCCGCTTGAAGAGCGGTATGTGAGATGATTTGTCCCTCGGAAACTAGAGCTGTGAATTGTTTTTTTTTTTTCTTCCGGAATGTCATCAATAAAGTCCATGAATTTGTTGTAATTTTTGTGGTCATATTTTGCCAGAACAGCAGTATAATTAGCAATGCGAAACTGTAACGTGGAAGATGCGTATACTTTACGTCCGAGCAGATCTAGTCACTTACTGTCCTTGTTGGATGGGGTGGAGCGGGGAAACTGGTGTTTGGTCTTTTGGTAACTGCGTCTACCACCAGCGAGTTTGGCACTGGATGAGCGAAAAGGAATTCAGAGCCCTTGGAAGGGATGAAGTACTTGCGGTCCGCTTGTTTACAGGTAGGTAGGCTTGCAGCAGGACTCTGCCAGATGGCCGTAGCAGGTTCCAAAAGGGCTGCGTTGATCGGTAATGCAATCCTAGAAGAAGAAGAGGGCTGAAGGATGTCCATTAACTCATGCTACTGTTCAGGTACCTCCTCCAAGTTAATTCTTAACTCTCTGGCAACTCTTTTGAAAAGGTCTTGAAGTATTGAGAAATCATCCGAAGATGTGGGGGAAGGAGGAAGTAAGGCTTCATCAAGCGTAACAACTGGGTCTACTGGGTTTGAGGCAGGTTGTGACTGATCCTGCAGTTGTGATGGTGCTGCCTGGTGCCTTATGTCAGTGTCAGGTTCGTCAGCTGAAGGTGCCGGACAGGTGTCGCGCCTGGTTGAGGTGGCATAGCGAGTGTGGTCTCGAGGATAAGATGCCCCTGGTGCCCAATATTGCCACTGTGGAGGGAAGGGCATAGGTGGTGCCATCCAGTGGAAGCCTGAAGCCTCGGCACCGGAGCTTGGTGGTATCACCGCAGCCTAGTTTCACACGGTGCCGGAGGAGCCCAGCGCGTCAAAAATGCTCAGCCGGGGAAGTGCTGGGAGGGAGGCTGTAGACCTGCCTGAGGAAGTCTTCTCCCGCAAAGTTCCCTTTGCAGGTGAGAGAAGGTGCCCTTTTTTTGCAGTTTTCTTGTCTCTCTTTGAGGCAGGGGGCTGTGGCGTGCAGTGGATCCGGAGTCAGCGCCCGGGTCTGAAGCTGACCCTAATGATTTTTGAAGGAGGAACAGTTTTAGTCTCAGCTCCCTGTCCTTCTGTGCCCTAGATTTAAGTTAGCTGCAGTGGGCACATTTTGGGGGGATGTGGGACTCCCCCAAACATTTTATGCACTTTGCATGGCCTTCTGACAGAGGGATGGCATCTTTGCAGGCAGAGCAGCGCTTAAAGCCTGGGGAGCCAAGCATGTCGGAAGCGGCTGCCACTGACAGGAACAAAGAAAAAGGTTTTATTTATTTGTTTATTTATTTTAGGAGAGAAAAGGATAGAAAAATGGTAACTAAGTACTACTGGTAACAAACTAACTAACTAGAAAGGTAATTGTAACAAAGGGAGAGAAAGTCTCTAACGAGTCTGCTGAGCTCCATCTCAGGCCGGGGACGGTAGAGAAGGAACTGAGGAGACTGGTCACACAGGCGTACTATTAAGGTACACTCAGAGCCGGGGGGCAGGCTCTGCGAGTGCGTGACTGGTACGAGTACTGCTGTTAAAATCTCCAAGTGAAGGCGCGGGGACGCACCAACACCTGGAGTGGAGCCCCAACAGGGACATCTCTTGAAGAAGAATGATTATTTACTCAAAAATACTGTACTAGTAGTTGAAAGCAAAGAATTCTCATTACTTATAAAATATCACCACAGTATTAGGAAAGGATGATCTTGCATTTAAGTTACTGGACAAGGATTTAGGAGGTTAGGTTCAATTCCCAGCTCTGCTACAGACTTCCTATGTGACCGTAGGCAAATCATTTAATCGCTCTATACCTCAGCTCCCCATCTGTGAAAAATACTACTTTTCCTACCTCACCAGAGTGTTAATGAGGTTAAATACATTTAAGTCTGTGAGATGCTCAGATATTACTGTGATTATGGCCAATAAGTACCTAGATTAATATGTTTTATTTACAACCTTTTCAGACTAGATTTAAAATGCACTGAATATTGTCAGCCAGCATAATACCTATCAAATACTGTTGCAGCAAAATACTGATTTTGTCTTTTCTTAGGGAAAAGAGATATATTTTTACCTCTCTGATTTAACATGCTAGCAATACATAGTATATTATGTATCACTGAGTAATGTGTAAAATATTTTCCAGGTCATTTTACTGTAGACTAATTTAAGCCACTATGGGTAACATACTTCTCCTTAGAAAAAATATTCAGTCACAGTATTTCCAACATCATGATCCTATTTTGCACTCTGGACAAAAAAGTTATGTAACTTTATTGGGAGAGAAGACAGAACAAATCTTTTCCCACCTTTCAGATAGTTTCATATTGCATCTATGCAGCCAAACACACAGATTGTACAATACTACCAATCTAGAAAGTATTTCTGGTAATAACAAGAATTTTGTAGTATTTCCTTTTCTTTCTAATGTTAGGATTAAAATTCCAGACACACTGTATCATCAGAACCTAATTTGTAATAATTATTTATTGAAGGAATAGTAATAATGTTTTAAAAAGACTGCAGGTCCTTCTTGCATACCCCCCCACAAAAAATGTAACTAACATCTCAACTACCAAACTACAATTAAAATCACTAGAACACTTATTAATACAAACACTAATGGAAGTCCTGAGTTTTCAGAATACATGTAGGAAAGGCTACCAAAAAAAAAAAAAAACCACGGGCTGAGGGCAACAGAAGCCCTGACCACAAAAAAGGAGGGAACACCCCTCACCCCAAGCACACGTTTGGGCTATAAAATAAATGAAAAGCTAACAAAAAGAAATACTTCATAAAAATAATAAACAAGCTGTGTAGCTAGCTAGCAGATACCACAACACTGGCTCAAGCTGCAAGCAGTTGAGGAGGACCACCACTCCCTATATATTCTTGTAATGGAGCACACAGATGAGCAGGTCAAAGGCATGGTCCTGAGGGCATGCTTACAAAAAGTTTGATGTAAAGTGCATGGAAGTGCACACATGAGACATAGAACACCTGTAGGGACAATAACTTGAAGAAAAATATCTGTTTTCTCTTCAAAATACAGTTGTTTTACTGGCGCATAAAATTATTTTTTCATCACATTAATGCTAAGAGAAACAAAACAAAATTTAAGCAAACCTTTTAATTTCAGCTAAGTATTTATATACCAGTTCTAAATCCCAAGGTAAGTTTAAACAGCAGCAATAAAACACTGATAGGACAATTCATAAGAGCAAATAGTATAGTTATACAGAGTAAAAGTCTATTTCACAAATTACTTAAGTGGTCTAGTTGTAGGATTTAAATGAAAGATTTTTTTTTTTTTTTTAATTAACTGAAAACTTTTCTAGATGACAAAAAGGAACCCACTGCTCCTACCTTTCCAGTGAATGAGTCTGCCACTCCTGCAGTAACAGGTCTAAAAATTCAAAGGAGCGTCTAAAACAAAATAGGAAAAAAATGTTAAAAACCTGCAATTCTCTACTTTCCTGAAATAATAGGTGATAACTTTGTTCTTTTTCCTCCTGGAAAATAATAACTGCATATAATAAAATATCTCACACTTAACACACTAGGAAATTGTTTGGCTTCTTCTGTTGTAATGGTGGAAAAATTTTTTACTTTGCACATTGTTTATATTTTTCCACTTACATGCAATCACACTGCATTTTAAAAAAGCAGAAATGGTTCATATGACCACTTGACGTTCAACAAGTGTTACTACAAATACAACCGCTTTAACATGTTTAGCACAAAAGGCCCACCAGCTAAGTCAAGTGGCAATTCCCCAGTGAGAAAATCAACCACACCAAACCTGTTAAGGAGGAGGTTGGTGGGTTTTCAACAAGACAGCAAGTCCTGTTCCTTGCTTGGGAGAATCATCTTTTGTAACCCCCTGTAGCTAGCTGGTGTCTTATAAATGTAGAAGTCCAATCACCAAGGCGCTGGAAGATGCAAGGAACTTTCCATCTTTTTGTCCCCCTGCAGAACCTTCTGACGGCTTCAAGTGGAGGAAGGTCTCTGCTACTCTATCCCTCTCCTGCTCCATAGAAGGGCAGATCTCACTATCCACTCAAGCCCTTCAGGGAGCTGTAAGAGTGGGAGGCAAAAATCTATAATGCTTCTGAGCTGCCCCATCCCCATGAATAACCTCTGTGTCTGCCTCTGCTGCTGTTCATAGATTTACAAAGTAGGGGCATTAGCATAAAAATGACATAAATTGGATACATTCACTGTTGCTCAGTGGGTTCTGAACTGCAGCAGCAAAACTGACCAGACTAATGTTAATTTCAGTCTATTACTTCTTAGGAAACCTGTGGCAGCAGAAGCACTAGAGCTCTGCAGACTTGGGAAAACACTTCATTTATTTACATTTAGGTTCCATTTGGAAGGTTACCTTTTGCAGTGAAATAAGCTTGAAACTTAAAAAAATTAAAAAATTAAAATCAAAAGCTTCAATTCTGCAGAAATTGATAGCTGAGGCCCCCTCACATATTTGCTAGGGAAAGTTTTTCACTCATTACCAGCACGTGGACGCTTACTTTGTTGAATCTCAATTATCTGTAGTGCATGGTAGCTTATTAGATAAGAGATTTTCACATTATATTACAGTGACTGCAATAAAAACATACTATTTTGAAGATAATTTTGCTAGTAGTCTATTATAAAATTAAGGAATATAAACTAACAGTTTTAATAATTTGTTATTTATCAAATACTCACCTCCTGACAGCAACTGATTTTGAAGTACAGTTGCTTGTTATTAAAGGTATTAGTCTGGGCACATGGGTATGCTGAAAAAAATCCATAAATATTATAACACAATGAAGCCAATGCCAAAAACATTCCTGAAATCAGAGTGCTAAATTTCAAATGAACGTAGTTAATAATTTTTCAGCAACAGATAAAATATTAATGATTAAATATAGGATTTTAAATGTTAATTGTTTAATCCAAATTTAGAATGTGTGTAAAAGTACACTTCCCTGACTAGGCCATGAACATATGTAAAATTAAGATATAAAAATATCTAAGGAAAAACATTTCTGACCATACCCCAATTTTCTCATTTATGTAACATTTAGCCACCAAAAAAACCCTTTGAAGGCTCAAATGTACCATATCTGTTTCCACACAGAAAATCTAAATTGATGTTGCTTCCATACAATTTCAGATGTTATTCTAATCAACACCTGAGCATAAAAAGTAAACCGTTATAAATAATATAAAGACTGCATGGCCTTTTTTAAACTGTATTATTAGCAACCCATTCAGTGCATGGTATTTTTTCCCATAGCTTGTGAATGTGATACATGACCATGTGAACCTCTCATAACAGCAGGATTCTTCTCAGTTTTTAATGCACTGCCTACTCTCAACATTAAAAATAAATTAACATAGAAAATTCCAGAACAGCAACTGATTTGTTGTATTTTTCACGTAACATTGACTTTTAAAAATTAATATCAATTCATTTGTACTGTTTTCATCAATGAATAAGGGCATTTGATCAACATATAAGGCATGTGGTAATGAGACTCTACTGGGGAAGGAACACAATGTTTCAAATAGAGGCAACAGCCTTATTTTACAATATTTGGTCTCTAGAGCTATTTACATCATGACACAGGCCTTTCAGAAAAATGCATCAAAGAGGAATTAGAAAAATGCACAAAATTATTTATGTAATCAAATATTTCTGAAAAATACGGAATATTGGCCTACGGCTTGCTTTAAATTGACTTTGAGATTGCATTAATAAGACAGCTTTAATGTTGTCTACAGATACATTTCTTTTTAACAGAATCCCACTTCAACAGCTTAAACACTGGAGCCAGTGCTCAACTGCATGAGCTAAGTCCCACCTCTCTGATGGTGGAAAGGATTCCTCACCCTGATGTCCACTCGTGTCATAATCTGCTTCTACCGGTTTTCAAAGGGAAAACAGACTACACTAAGCACTGCTAGGGCAAGGAACAGGAAACACAATGAAAGGGCAAACAAGACTGAAGGTGGGAGACTGAAGCTGCTGCAGAATAAGTGGGATCTCTGACTAACACCACAAGACACTAGTACCCCAGCATCTACACTGGCAGCCAGCTGGTTTTTAGGAGGAGTCTGAAGTGTTAGCTTTGACCTATAAAGTCCTAAATAGCCTGGGACCTGCCCCGACAGATCATCTCTGCCCTCCCAGTGCCCTACCGCTATGAATCATATCAGTCAAGTGCTTGACGCTTCGTGATTAGAGAGACAAGCCAGGGGGTAGTGTGCTTTCTGTGAGGGTCCTTCGGCTCATTTCCAGCATTTGGTACAAAAGAGCTCAAATTTGCTGACCTTCAAGGCACACTGCAAAAACCATCTGATTGATAAGGCTTAGGGGCACACTGGGATGGGAATTATTTGACTGTCAAATTTATTATCTGGTATGTTATCGTCTGTTATTCTTACGTGGACGAAAGTTTAAGCACTGTCAAACCTTTTTCCCTGTTAAATTGCAATAAGCAAATCATTGGTTGTATTCACTTTTTGTATCTTACCCCAACACCTAACTAGCCTGGTATATAGTTTGGCTTCTGTGAGCAACTAGAAATAATTATTTTGGTGTGTACAGACATCCCAACTCATGCCATTGTAACTGAAAAAACTACTCCCTCCTCCTCTCCTGACTGTGCAGTTAGACATCCCAGAACGCTCTGGAAGAAAAACACCTATGGCCCTTAGCACACGCAGTTGTTACTTAGGTTCTAAGTGACAGCTGTCCAGGATGTCCCAGAATATGCTCTTAAAACATGGTTAGGAAGAGTACTAGGTGTGGATGCCATAAAAACACTTGCAACTAGTTAAGCTGACTGGATCTCTAACAATTTACAAAAACAACCCCAGATCCAGCTGTAGTGTGGGTAAGGTCAGTGTAAAATAGTAATTACTACTTGTAAAGGCTAAAGAGGGTCAGAGCTTTTTATATATAAACTGCAGGCAGTCTGATTTTTTTTTATTTAAATAAAATGGATGTTTTGATTACTAGCGAATCCAGAGTTTAAATCACTTTGCCGTTCCCTCAAGATAATGTTATTTCTTGGTATACGCTGAAATAACCCAGCCTCGCAAAACAGTCAGGAAAATGCACTTGCCCTTCACAATATCTCCTTGCCCACCCTTTACCATGATTGTGGTGATGGATGATGAATAATGACATTTTGTTCATCTGTCAAAAAAATTACTTGCCCAGGGCAAAACTTACAGTTCAGGCTTTAAAAACAATGACTATGTAAATATGGAATATATATTAAACTGGCAACAGATTTTTGTTAGGCGTGACTAGCTGAGTAGTTACTTTTTATCAAACAAACCCATAAAATACCATCAGAGGAATACCTACACGAATGACAAATCTGATTGCAGCACAGCCAGAAGTTGCCATAACTTTGGCGCTGTTAGGGACCAGATTAAAAAGAGTAGGCACAATGGCTTCAGCCCCATGGTCAAACTTGTTTCCCAAAACTGTTGAAAGATGACTGTTCAGGAAATGAAATAAAACTAGTTAATAAAAATAATTTTATAGCCTCAAAATAAGTAATAGAAAGTTAATCACACATTTTAAAGACTCCTCTTTCCAAACAATGGCTATGATAGTACTTAATTTATGTTTTTCCACATCTATATCTTCCTAATGAGAAAAGATTCACGGAATTCATGAATACTACACTGTTTACCTTGCAGACAACTTGAAAGTTTAAACATTAATAAGTAATTTTCTCTCTCAGACTTAGGCTTCCTTACAATTAAGATTACATGTAAAATATCACTTTTAAAAACCTGAAGTTAATGTGTGTACCGTTACTTAGGACCTACAGTGTTATTTTTGTTTCTTACCATACCATGACAGTATAAACTTGGAAAACAGAACATTCATGTGGCTATTCTCAAGGACATCAAGCATTCATTGTAAATGCAATATATTAAAATTGAATTCTAAAAGTAATTTAACACAGCATTTATTCTAATGACATTAAGTGACATTTTGAGTTTTATATAATAATTTATCCTGCCATAGGCAAACTATAAAATGTGTCATAGTTACCCATGCATGAAATCTGCAGTCCCTCCCCATCTTATTTATTCAAGGGCTGTGGCCATAAGTTCAGAGTAGATGATGATTTCCATACTCATAGCAATTTAACTCTCCATTGCTCAGAGCAAAGGTTTCACCAGTGCAGAGCAAATGCAAGATGCGCTTATAATCAGAAGCGAGTGACATGCTGAGTACCAAAGAGTTAAATAATGTCTTTTGTGAAGATGCATTTAAAAGGAAGAGTGCCTGTCTACTCTGTGGTAAAATATGGATTTTTTTTTTTCTTAATTTGTTGAGGGAAAGCCCCCAACACCACAGAAAAAAATGTCTATTTCTGTTTGTGCATCTCTGAGAATACCATGAACATTAAATTAGGGCTGTCAAGCAATTAAAAAAATTTATCGTGATTAATCGCGCTGTTAAACAACAAAAGAATACTATTTATTTTAAATATTTTTGGATGTTTACTACGTTTTCAAATATGTTAATCTCAATTACAACACAGAATACAAAGTGTACAGTGCTCACTTTATATTTATTTTTTATTACAAATATTTGCACTGTAAGAAACAAAAAAATTGTATTTTTCAATTCACCTCATACAAGTCCTATAGTGCAATCTCTTCATCATGAAAGTTGAACTTACAAACGTAGAATTATGTACAAAAAACTAACTGCATTCAAAAATAAAACAACGCAAATCTTTAGAGCCTACAAGTCCACTCAGTCTTGCTTCTTGGTCAGCCAATCACTCAGACAAACAAGGTTGGTTACAATTTGCAGGAGATAATGCTGCCTGCTTCTTGTTTACAATGTCACCTGAAAATGAGAACAGGCGTTCGCATGGCATTGTTGTAGCTCGCATTGCAAGATATTTACGTGCCAGATGTGCTAAAGATTCATATGTCCCTTCATGCTTCAACCACCATTCCACAGGACACGCTTCCATGCTGATGATGGGTTCTGCTTGATAACAATCCAAAGCAGTGCGGACTGATGCATGTTCATTTTCGTCACCCGAGTCAGATGCCACCAGCAGAAGGTTGATTTTCTTTTTTGGTGGTTTGGGTTGTGTAGTTTCTTAAAAGAGAAGCACACTGATGCGGACTTCTAAAAGCATGCTCCACACCTCGTCCCTCTCAGATTTTGAACGGCTCTTCAGACTCTTAAACCTTGGGTCGAGTGCTGTAGTTATTTTTAAAAATCTCACATCGGTACCTTCTTTGCATTTTGTCAAATCTGTTGTGAAAGTGTTCTTAAAACGAACATGTGCTGGGTCATCATCCGAGACTACTATAACATGAAATATATGCAGAATGCGGGTAAAACGGAGCAGGACACATACAATTCTCCCCACAAGGAGAACAATCACAAATTTAATTGACGCAGTATTTTTTTTTAACAAGCATCATCAGCATGGAAGCATGTCCTCTGGAATGGTGGCCGAAACATGGAAGGGGCATACGAATGTTTAGCATATCTGGCACGTAAATACCTTGCAAAGCCGGCTACAAATGTGCCATGTGAACGCCTGTTCTCATTTTCAGGTGACATTGTAAATAAGAAGCAGGCAGCAGTATCTCCTGCCAATGTAAACAAATTTGTTTGTCTGAGCGATTGGCAGAATAAGAAGTAGGACTGAGTGGACTTGTAGACTCTAAAGTTTTACACTGTTTTGTTTTTGAGTGCAGTTATGTAACCAAAAAAAAAAATCTGCATTTGTAAGTTAGACTTTCACGATAAAGAGATTGCACTTCAATACTTGTAGGAGGTGAATTGAAAAATACTATTTCTCTGGTTTATCATTTTTACGGTGCATATATTTGTAATTAAAAAATAATAATATAAAGTGAGCACTGTGCACTTTGTATTCTGTGTTGTAATTGAAATCAATATTGAAAATGTAGAAAAACATTCAAAAATATTTAAATTTCAATTGCTTTCTATTGTTATAAGTGCGATTAATCACGATTACTTTGTTAAATCGCAATTAATTTTTTTGAGTTAATCACGTGAGTTAACTATGATTAATTGACAGCTCTACATTACATATATTTGACCACTTACATGTATATATATATGATATGATATTGAAGTTCCTCATTTCACTTCTATTTTCAATCAATTGACTAGACTATTAAATGTAAGGGCCTGCTCCTGAAAATGCTACAGGGCACAGAGCTTGTTACTATGAATAATCACACTGAAGTCATGGTAACAAGCACCCAGGAGTAAGTGTTTTAAGGCTTGGAACCCAAGTTTATGAGTAAACAGTGATTACTGTAATGTGTAAACACATCCAATTTGGTTATCAAAAGGACTGAAATGCGTAACTCAAATGATGGCTCATCTGTTTTTCTATAAGTGATTTTCTTTTCTATGAAAGAATTGCACTTATTATCTAAAGAGAACATAGACTTTGTCCCAGCCTAAGTGATATACACTGAAGGTCACTCAAGACTTCATCTGCTGTTCAAAACAAACCATTTTGACAAGGCATTATCCAAATATAAAGCACATGAATTATTCTCAATAGAAAATTCAAATGAAAATCTAACAGGACTATTTCTATGCTTAATTCACAATATATTCATATACCTTTTCAGAACAGCTTTAGTAAATTACTAAGTGTAAAAATATTTCACTTACTAAAACATTCCCCTGCTCTTTTATATAAACGCTCTCTTTTCAAGCTGATGTCTTATTCAGCCAAGGTATAACGTATCTTCTGCATCATGGAAGATACTCGCAATTACAATGAAGAGTGCTGCCTTAGATTATATGCATTGTTCTACAGCTTGAAATCCTGACTTCACCCTCCAACCAGGTATGGTACACAGGAACTGCAACACTGATGGAGCATTTGCACAGCTGAGATGTATTTTTTTAAAATCTTGACGTTGCTAGCCATATACCTTATTTAGATCTAGTGCTATTAAAAACCAAGGTAATAAAAAACCAAGCAAGTACTTACGCTACAGTAATGCATGCTTCTCTAACCACCTGGGATCTGAGATCCTTAGCTGATAATTTAAAAGCTCCATCCAACAACCGTAGATGCTGGAAAAAGCAATCATACTGTGCAGCTCCAGCAACAAGCAGCGATCGAACCTTCTTGAGCTACAACAAAATTAAGACAGTTAGTTATCAATAGTCCTGACTGCACAGAGACAGAGGTTTTAAAATATGTAAAGCCTACAGGCAAGTGTCGCTACCTGCAAGGCACATACATATGTGTGTGCGCACATAATTTTGTGCATACACACGCTGAGATTCAGAAGAGGTCCTTTGGAAAAATTACCACTTAAACACCGTTAGAAATATATTTCTCTATATATTCTAGTTATTTTTTTCAAACTGATATTGTAATGATACATCACCACCATATAAAAATATGAGAAACAATTCCATCTTTAAAAGTGTATCTAATATGAAAATTTTTTGAATTAATCTCAATTGTAAATACTTCATTTTGTGAAAGCTTTTTTAGAACAACGTTTGGACAATCTGTTTGGATAAAAAACATACCGCACTGGCTCGCTGATCCCAGTCATGTTTATCATCTGAGAGAATTTCCCTGATTTTGTTTAATGTTTCTTCAAGCTCTCGACTGGAATAGATCTGTTTAAAAACAAATAATATATAGACTTAATATTTCCATGTTTACCTGAGGAAAGGGACAACAACTGTCTTACATTTAAAAAACAACTGAACTAGAATTTTGAAAACATTAAGGACAAAATTCCACATAGCCAGATTGTAATAGAGTTTCCATTTTAGAACAAATTTTTATTTATATACACAACTGTCATTCAAGGCCTTCCAAATATAAAAGTGTAACATTGATTTTGTGATAAACATTTTATCTCAGGAAAGATTTCAGTCTCAGTCTATAGAACAAGTAAATCACCAACCCCAGTGATTTACTAATTTTAGTAATTTAATTTTTTGATTCAGCTACAATTCAATGTGAGTGAAATGTTTAGGCAATAGGTCAATATGTTATTGTGATTAAATTTCAATCTAATTTCCCAGTATGTATATAAAATTGTTCTACTATGGAAATAATATTGGAGCAGGGACTTCTTTTTCTTATGTGTATATAGTACTTAGCTCAATAGAGCCCTGACTGAATTGCTAGGCACTCTACAACACAAATAAAACCAACAATTTGTTTGAAAAATACTTTAAGAATCTCAGTAACATCTATGTGAGGAATATGTATCCCAGTGATGCTTAGCTAGAATTAGGTTTTTTTCAATGTTCCTTTTGTACATTCCTTTAATAAATGCATTTAGTACATTTATTACATTTTAAAAAAATACATTTTGAAGAAGGCCTCTATTTTCACAGTTTGGGTTACCTTTTCACCTGAAAAAACAAAAACAAAGTTTGACTGACCAACAAACAAACCAACAACTCGACAAAACAATAATCAACTTGTTAACTACTGTTGTCAATTCCAGTGTTCATGTATAAGGAAGATTTCACAAGGAGGAAAATTAGAAGCTTAAGGAAATTTATGTGTTGAAAGCACCCACTTTCATATACAATCAAGTTAATGAAGTCCTTCTGATTTCTCTACACTCACATACCCTTCTCTATTCTCTAGGATCTAACCAGAACATGCTCCTTTCTGCCTTCATGAAACATACTAAATTGAAGTTCCGGTTTTTCTCCAGCCAACAGAGGGAAGCAGGTCAGAGACAGAGTTCCGATTAAGTTCCTCTTAAGCAACTTGCAATAATTTTTTGACAAATTTTTGTTGTTGTTGGAAAATGGTAGTATTTTGAAAATGGAGGTTGGTTATTTGTTACCAGAGGTTCTATGAGATGTGTGGTCCCTATTTGTATTCACATGTGTCTGAGTCCAGACATTTTTAGTAAGCCGTGTCCGTTGGTGCGCACATGGGAGCTAATCTCCTTGTGCTCTGAACTGAAGATATAAACAGCAGAGCAGACCAATGCCTCTCCAGGTCTATTCTTACCAAGGATCTGGTCATGATCCTCGGCAGAGAGGACAGAGCAGTGGAATTCAGATAGGGACCACACATCTTATAAAACTTCCAGTTACAGGTAAGTAACATCCATTTCTTCTTTGAGAGACAATCCCTGTATATTCCACATGAGAGAGATTAGTAAGCAGTAGTCAAACAGGAGGTGGGCGCAAGGCTGCAGATGATATGACTGTCTGTAGTACTGCTGTCCATGGGGCTTCAGCCAGAGACAATGTGTGAGGAGGACATGTGGGGTCATGTGCTGCCGGCCCCCTCCCTGCACTGCAGCTACTGGAGCTGGCAAACTGGGGGCTGTGCCTTAGGTAGAGGCAACAGGAAACAGCTGGGAGCTGCAGGGAGAGCCACTACTTTTACTGCTGCCTCTCCCCAAGGAGCTAAAACAGAGGTGCAGCTCCCAGCTGTTTGCCGCTATCTCTCCACGCAGAGCTAACACCTGGGAGCGGAAGGAACGCTGAGCGAAAGAGGGAGGTGAGACTGGGGGTGTGAGACAAGTTATTGGGGGCCTGAACCTTTTAATTGTGCCCCCCACCCTCAGCAGGCACCAGTCATTTCTGGCGGAAGCCCCAAGCCCGCCCTCCCCCCCAGTCTGGTATGCAGAGAATGGGGGCAGGAGCCACACTAACTGTAAAAGAGCCGCATGCAGCTCACGAGCCAGTTTGGCCACCCCGGTAACTAACGCGTAATGTCTTGTAAAGGCATGTATGGAGCTCCAGGTCACCACCCTACATACATCTAGTAAAGGTACGTTTTGCAGAGATGCTGCAGAGGTTGCTTGAGCTCTAATTGAATGGACTTTCACCTCCTTCATGCAGCCTGAGATCCATTTAGAGAGTCTCTGCACAGATAGGCCTTTACACCTTGATATCACTACTATGGTGATAAAAAGCCTAGGTGTCTTTCTAATTGCTTTTGTTCTCTGTAGATAAAAGGCCATCAGACATCTAGGGACTGGAAGCCTTCTCTCTGCATTAGAGCATATGGTTCAGGGAAAAATTCCGATAAGTGAATAGTCTGATTCATGTGAAACTTTGAAATGACTTTAAGAATGAACTTCAGTTGGAGGCAAAGACAGACTTTATGGAAGATGGTGTATGGTGGGTCTACCATGAGTGCTCCCAGCTTGCTCACCCTCCTGGCTGATGTGATGGTGACTAGGAAAACAACTTTCACCCAGAGATGGGACAAAGAACAGGTGGCTAATGATTCAAAGTGAGATTTGGTAAGAACCAAAAACATGAGGTTGAGGTCCCACTGAAGTGTTGGTTTCACCATTGCTGGAAAAGTTCTAATAAGTCTCTTCAGGAATCTACTCATCATTGACTGAGTACAGATAGTCCTCAATTAGAGGATGAAAAGCTCTATTGCTGCAAGGTGGACCTGCAGGGAACTATAGAGAGGCCTGATGTCTTATGGGTAAGCAGGTATTCTACAAAAACAGGGATTCCAGTGGATCTGGAGATGGCTGGTGGTGTTGTAACCAAGAAAAGAAGCACTTCCATTTGGTCAAAGAGCTTCTCTTGGTAGAGTCCTTCCTCCTTTGGTTAAGAATGGATTGAACTGCCACTGAACATGTATGCTCTGCATCTGATCCCTATTCAAATACCAGGCCTTGAGTTGTAGTGGTCCTGGGCTGCAGTGCCTGATGGTAGCATTGTGTTGTGTCAGCAGATCTGGAAGTGGTCAGATGTTGATGGGAGGATGGGTTGAAATCCTCAGGAGTTCCAAGAACCAGAACTGTCTTGGCCAATTGGGCACAATGAGGCTTACCCAAGCTCTGTTGTGGCAGTTCTTCCACAGGGTTTTCTATATTAGGGGGATGGGAGGTAAGGTGTATCTGAGGTGGTCTATCCTTTGAGTTGCAGCCCAGAGTTGCTCTAGCGCAATACAGGAGTAGTTCCTTGTACTCTTGAGAGATGAAAAGATCCCAAAATGGTGTTCCCCACTGGTTGGGGATCTTGTTCAGAACAGAATCATGAATCTCCCATTTGTGGCCTGTGGAAAAATGCCTACTGAGACTGACTGCTAGTGCATTCCATGCACATGGTAGGTATACTGCTGAGAGGGTTATGTGGCTTCTGATAGTCAATCTCTACACACGGAGGGAGGGAGCTTGCTCCCCCTTGTTTGTTTATGTAGAAGACAGTCGTCACATTATCCAACATTACTTGGCTAGGCCAGGATTGGACGAGTGACAGGAAAGTGTTGCTGGCCCAATGGACCGCTCTGAATTCTAGTAAATTGATATGCACCCTGGCCTCCTGAAGAGTCCACGTGCCTTGTGCAGTAGGATTGTTCATCTTGGCTCCCCATGTGTAACGATAGTCTTCTCAGGTGAAGGTGTGAGGAAAGGAACTCCTGCCTGAATTTCTCCAGTGACCAGCTTTATCAGATCATTCATGGCATCAAATCTCCCAATGGGGAAACAGACTCTTGCTGTAGTCGAGTCTAGATCGCTCCTATGAAATCTATGGATCTTGTGGGTATTAAAGTAGCCTTTTCGTGATTGACACAGGTTCCCAAGGAAGAAAGAAGACGGAATAGAAATAGAGTCGCCAGCCAGACTTCCCTGCTGGGAAGTGGTTCTCTGGGTAGCCGTATTCTGAAGGAGGCAGATTGATCCAGTACCTCCTGTGGGTTCTGTCTAGCGCTGTTTTCCTCAGAGTGGGGGGGAAGTATCATCTGGAACAACAGATTTTCTTGATGAAATAATAGGCTCCTGCTCTACTGGTGGTGACATTGATACCAGCGGGAGGATGTTATGAGTTGTGGACACATTAGGAGAGGATTCTCTTCCTCTCAAGGTGATTTCTTCAGGTGTAGGGATGTCTCCAAGGAGATCCAGGAGCAACAAAAGAGGATATTGTGGTTATAACAGAGTGAAAATATCTTCAAATGAGGTACAGGTTTTGATCCTCCCTGATGTCTGGGGAGCCCCTGAGAAATGGATTGGGAGATCCTGGTCTAGTACTCAAAGGATCCCATACAGAGTATGTCGGAACCGTTGGATGAAGAACCAAGGTGGAACTCCCAGATGGGTCTGGTTGGTATCCGCCTTTTGGCTTGTGGGAAGGAGCCAAAACTGGGACTGTCAGATCTTTCTTCCTTCGCACTTTGCCTTCTTGAATGGCAGGTTTATGCGGACCTAACTCCCTAGGAGCTGCGCACAAGGACTCACCCTTGGACTGAGATGGGGAGGGATCCGTCCTTATATCTATTGTCACGTTGCCTGCTCTTGTGCAAGGATTTCCTAGGCTTAACAGTCTTACTGTCTACTCCAGAGCTCATGCTCGGAGCAACGCTGCTTGCAATCTAAGGCCACTATACAGGAGGTCTCCTGGCCTGGATACGAATGCAGCCTCATAGCCTGCTCCATGAGGTGCTTCCATATATGCTAAAATCATGAACCGCTATCCCGACCTGCACAACCCGTATAGGGTGATCTGTTTCAATCAGATTCTGACATTTACCATTTGGATACTCTTGAGTGATTAGAAGAATCTGTCTAGGATTGTGTTATAGAACCAATATAGACTGACCACACCTTGTGCTGTGGAGCATGGCCCTTGCCAACATACTGGGGATAAATGCTAGTAAGAAAGAGTGGTGTATTTGCATTCAAAATCATCCATGCAGTAGCAAGATGTAAACGAGAGGGGGAAAAAAAACTTGCAGCATAAGGGTTGAAATTCTGTAAAGATTTGCTTAAGGGTGGGGCCAGGGTGTTATGGAGATACCTGCAATAAACTATTCCCTTCACAAAAATGGGAAGCTGCACCTTTGCCTATAGATGTCCCCAGAAGTATACCTAACAAACAGCTGTGTTGTCATATGGAAGGAACACTATATACCACTGTGGATCAGTCATACAGAGGATCCTTTATGGCAATCACAGCCTGCAATGAGTTCTTAGTGTTCTACTATATGCTGGGGGTTTAGGTAATTTTTTTCCAACAAGAGAGTACTTAACAGACGGCCCAACCACAAGAAGCACCAAATATCTATAGTTCAGCACTCTGATAATTCAGACCACTTAATTAAAGGTCAGATACCAAAAAGAACTCAGCACCCCTAATTTAGGCACCCAGGTAAGAGTCTAGACTTTTCAAAAGAGTTCTGTTAGAAATGAGCACTTTTGAAAATCTATCTGGGTGTGCTGGATTCAGGTCCTAAATTTTAGGCACCCAACTTTGAAAACATTAGCCTTGCTTTTTAAACCATTTGTCTAGTTCAGCATTTAATAAAGTTACAACCCTAGATTTTCCATAAAATCATGTCTGTCTTTCATTCACATCATGTATCAGCATTAAACATGTAAAATAACACTTCAATGAGAACAAGGTCACTTCTCTCAGCAGTTACTGGGAAAAGATTAAGACAATAATAATAGGCTTGAACCTGAAAATAAAATAAAAGGTTAATTAGTAACTAATAGTTGAAACAAACAGTTTCCAAGAGAGGCTGGGAAATAACCATCAATGGAAAACTTAAGGACTAATTTGACACTATTTACCAGGAACAATGCAATGATGATGGAATCGATCCTATTATGACGCAAAACTGGACTCAATTATACATTTGCACTTATTTCCAAAGCGAGTATTTCCATGATTAGCTGCTGTATCAAAAAAATATATATTTTCACTTTTTTAAAAAAAGAGGGTACCTATTCACATGGTAAGGACCATGGCACAGAAAGTTTACATGTTCATTTTGAATGCAAGTAATAACCAACATATGTAAACACAGGCATTGTATGAGTGTATTAAACAATTCCTAAAGTTAATATCTTGGTAAATTTTAATCCACTATTCACAAAGAACAGAAAGGAAATTAGCAATGTGAATCAAACCTCTTGTCAACTTATTTTAAAAAAATCAAACCCTCCATGACTCAAATTACACAAGAAAGCTGTTAAAAAACACCACCACTATTTTGGGTTTTTTAATACACTCAGCACAAACTGTCCTTTGCCTACATTAGAAATAATATTAATGCCCTAGAGCAGACCAATATACCAAAGTTCAGTGCAGAACAAATCTTACGGCTAACTTCTAATTCTAGCCTAAAAATATAACAGAAGCCAACACTCATTTTTAATATGTATGTGCAGGCACTGGCAATAATTTGAAGGGGAAAATTTAACAATACCCAGCTAAAGGCTGATCATTTCATGAAAACAAAGCATAATTAGAAAAAAAATTAAAGATTAAAGAAGCTTGTTGACACAGAATTGCAAATCAAAACACACAAAAATAAGACATTTCTTCTGAAAATAAAATTGAGCACAAATTACAATGTCTTACCTGTACAGAAGGAACATCTGTAAATGCCTTAATAAAATCATCCTCATCGACAGCTCCAGCTCCTCCTTCTTTAGATGCACCTATGTAAGTTTCAAAACAAACAAACAAAAAAAACCTGCTTAATGGTGTCTAATACATTTCAAATATATAAAGATTTTCCAGTTCAAATACATTCAATTTATATTTAACTTTAGTTACTGTGTAATCTTTATTACCTGGTAAGGCAGGTTGAAAATTTTAATAGAACTGATAAACATGGAATTTCTAATATATAGGAAATTTTAATATTCTAACATCTGTTTTCATCTTTAATCTGGACAGAATCAAAATATCAAAACTTTTCACAAAATAGTAAGTTACAAAAAAATTTGATCTGGGAATGTCAAATTTCTTTCTGACATTTTCAACCAAAACAAAATGTTTCAACATCCTCAAACTGAAACATTTAAATTTGTTAACCTAAGATAAAATATTTTTTCAATTTTACCATAGAAAAAATCCCCGCCCCCCCCCCCATCAACATTTTACAGTGAAAACATTCATTTTTGCTGAAACCACATTTTCTGCCAAAAAAAACAACGGAAACCCATCACCATACAACAGGCTTGTACAGAATGCCTCCACTATCTACTGAAATAAAACAGGTTTTCCTTGAACATGTACCATACAATCAATAAATAGTGTATTTAAAAATCATATTTAAAGTAAATCTTCATTTTAAGTAATTCCCCTGCTATGAAGATTCAAAATATAGGGCCAATCTTGCAGCCATTCCATAATGCCCACTGAAGTCAAGGGAAAGCTGCATGTAGAAAGACTAGACTAATTGTGATCATTTCAATACACAGCAACAACACAAACACACAAGTGAAAACAAACAAACAAACAAAAAGTTTAAGAAACAAGCTAAAACTAACAATCTGACCATGTGCTCAAAAGGCTGTCTGAGCTTATCTACTTATTCTTCTTTAAAATTTTACTTCAAAGGTCAGATGTACCACAGTTTACAGAGGGCTTCTGCAGTTTGTTACCAAAATAAAATTATTCAGTAACACTTTCAAACAGTAACTCTATAAGGTTCCTATCAACATTCCTTTTTCAGAATTATGCCAACAAATATTGTTCTTGTAGCAATAGCCAACTAACAGCAGAGACAATATCTGATGTGGAGCAGAAAAGCAGCATACAGAAGGGTTGCATCATACGCGCATTTAACTTGCGCGAATTCAACTATACGTGCTGGGAGAAAAAAAAGAGAGAGAGAGAGAGAGAGAGAGAGAGAGAGAGAGAAACAACAATTTAAATAGTGCGGGCTGAGCGGGGCTGGCGGCTGGTATCCCAGACTGGCAGCGGGCTGAGCAGCCAGTCTGGGGTTCCGTCCGCCGGCTCCTGCCAGTCGGAGTCCCGGCCGCCGGCCCGCTCAGCCCGCTGCCGGCTGAGTGAACGGAACCCCAGGCCGGCAGCGGGCTCAGTTGCAGCCGGGACCTGTAGGCTGACATTGAAGAAAAAAAAAAAAATTGGCTCGCGTGCCACCTTTGGCACACATGCCGTAGGTTGAAGACCCCTGTTCTAGTGTATACAGTGTGTACTGTACTTTATGGTAATTTTCACTATACACGCTGATCTCAGAACCTAACCCCCACGTAAGATGTGACTCCACTGTAGACTCAGTTTACACATAAAAAGTATTATTTTGCTACTTGTAACCCAAAAGCAATAGCCCCATCCCTTTTTCAGCCAGGCAGTCAAAGGCCCTTTGGAAAAGGTACATACTTTATTGGTGCAGTCTGGTTCCCTTGGTCCTACCCTTCTGACTAATACTGGTGTGATGCTATTATTGCCTGACAGAAGCATCAGATTACTGTATTCAGGATGAGCTGCAATTAAGTGCTTGGCAGAACTGCATTAAGATACAAGAAGTTTCACCTTTCTTTAAATGGGACCAAAATTTTTCTACTAGCTTAAGAAGAGAGTTGGAGACTGGTTAATGACTGATTCTTATTTCCACTTTGATTTTTCTGGGTAACAATAGCTGGTATGCTGGACCAACTGTGAGAAGGGTCCTTACTAAGAGCACAGCAGCGATGCCAAATGGTTGGAGGCTGAAAACTGATTGTCTTCAGCATTCCTCTAATAATATCTACATTTCCTTATCTTCCTCCAGTGGGAGTCTACTCTTTCTGTTGAATCCGGAGAATGTGCAGGCAGAAAATTATAACAGTTCTAATTCATGGACTGTACTCTTCCTTGTTCAGTGTTGGTAATAGGGGACATTGTATCAAATATTTTTTCCTAAATTTCCCCCCTACCACTTTGTCTAGGAAGGAATCCCAAGAAGCGTCCTTCCCAGAAATGGTGTGAAGCTCACTAATTACCCAGAAAAGTAGTTTTTCTTTCATGCCTGGAGCCACAAGTATCTCCTAGCTACAGTGTTAGAAACCACAACCATGTAAGAAAACTGATAGAATTCATTGTGGCATTCATGACATATTATGCTGTGATTGAGATTTTGATAAGGATGGCCTAAAAGCTTGTCCTTGGGCAGCAATAGTTCTTTTTGAATCTCAAACTAGATCATGATTACCCTTACTTAGAAAGTATCTGATGAGGCTTGCACACACTTAGCAGGTGCCTCATAAAAGAAAACCAAGTCAAAACTGTTTTGGTCCTTTGGCAAGAATTCTCCTTCTGGGAGTAATAATTTCCGTGCCTGATGCTGCCAGAGCAAGGTGTAATTTTGTAATTTAGGTCAGGGACAGGACTAATTTTAGAATGAGTAAAACTTCATCACTACTTTATTCATTTGCCTACCCTTTGCTGGTTGCTCCCATTCTGATTTGATTGCTTTCCTTGGATCATTCTTGTTGCTTCAGAGAAAGTAATCCTGGTTGGAGGAATTTGTTCGAATTTTGCTCAGCAGTTGGTTCACACCCAAGACCAGGGAGACTTGGCTGGTCATCTTCATTCTTACTGGGAACAGGAATGCCTGTTCTAAGCATTAGCTCCAGATTATTCAGTGCCTGAAAACGGACAATTTCTTTAAATCAGAAGTGAAGAATTAGAGATGGAGCTCCTATGCATCTTGAATTTCTTGCTGCACTTCCTGAGTGTGTGGAGGGCTTTTTTTTTTTTTTTTTTTAGATTTAGGAAAATAAGTTTATTCAGAATAAGGATCGCTTGTCTACATTGGCAATTTACAGCGCTGCAACTTTCTTGCTCAGGGGTGTGAAAAAACACCCCCCTGAGCCCAGGAAGTTTCAGTGCTGTAAAGCGCCAGGATATACAGTGCACCAGCGCTGGGAGCCGCGCTCCCAGTCCTGGTAGCTATGCCCTCGTAGAGGTGGGTTTTTTAGAGCGCTGGGCGAGCTCTCTCCCAGCGCTCTGCCGCGACCACACAAGCCACATTAAAGCGCTGCCGCAGCAGCGCTTTAGCACTGTCAGTGTAGACTAGCCCTAAGAGGTTTTAGCGTTTGGTATTTTAAGGAATTCATTAGTCCTAGTACTGATGGATCAACTGGTTGTCCATAACTCTAACCCAAATTACATATTAGTAGCATTTGAAGAGCAGGCTGAAGCACCAGGAACAAATCCTGCTTTTGCCATAAAGGTTTGTCAGCATAATTTAGGCTGTTGTTCAGGAATGGAGATGGCTCCTGAGGTGCTTCGGATCTGACACAGGGCCGAAGAGGAAAGCAAGTCTTACTTCCTGGACAGTACTAGAAGAACCATCCTCTTCAAGTTACCAGATTTGCCAGATTTATTGCCTTTTCTGTGTCTCTAGGGCTCTCCCTTTGAAGTACGTTTCACCTGTTCTGCCATCAACATGGAAGGCTCTGAGTTTACACACTATTTTTCAAAGACTCAATCACAAAAATGTGCTGAGTGCTATGCAGGAATTTCTGAACCTTTTGTGAGAAGGATACCTGCTGACTCCACAAACAAGGTAGGATCTCAACAATTTGGGTGCTTCTGTTACATAAAAGCTGCCTTTGATAAGACTGTCCATTCTCTACCAAACTGATGCTGGCTATACAGCTTCCCCATACAGAGGCTCCCTGCCGTGAGGTGAAAGAGAGGGACGATGACAACAGTACAGAGGCGGAGAAGGAGAAAGGTGAAAAGAAGTGGGAAGGATTCTCCTGAGTTCCTCCAAAAGCAAATATAGTCCAAATAAAATGGGAGTTCTAGAGTTGCTATGCCCAGCTCCTGCAGAGAAAGAAACCTCTGATTACTGAGTACTGGAATGAGTTTTGCCATCATAGCTTCATAGCTCTAGCTGCCGCTAAAAACTTCAGAAACGGAGCTCAATACATGAGAAAAGGTCAGTGGACATGTCAATCCATGAGTGACTTTTTTGGTAACATTTTTGTTTTAATAAATGCACAGAGTCAATTTAAAAAACCACACTTCTGTCCAAAAATAGTTTATTATTGTCACAATACCGAAGAGTACTGTAATAAAAGTGAGAAAAAAGTTGTTTGTTTTTACTTTGCATATATATACCATCATTGGATATTAGTTTCACTGTATCCTCTTTATTCAGTATCTCCTGTTTGAATAGATGCATCTGTGAAAAAATCTTTTAAATAGGAAAATGTAACTGAAAACGCACAAAAATTGGTAGTGGAATTTAGGGCAGCTGTAGTCCTTGAAACTATTTCTAACTCATTTTTTCCCTCTTAAATGGTCACCCTAAAAACAGAGTTCCCGGAATCAGAAATATGTTCAACCCAAAATGTAATTCCCAAATGCAGAGATAAATATGCCAATGAACTTTGCCAGAGAGTGGTATTGGACAATTGCTCTTCATCCCTAATGGTTCTGTAGTTCCACATCTTATTTCGCCCCCCTTGTTCAACGTGTACTTGGAGAGGGTTAGTAAGGTGTGGGCTCCAGTGTTTTCAGTACCCTGAAAACACCACGCTCTCTATCTGTATCTCACCTAACTCAACAAGTATTGTCAAACATCTGGCCCAGTGTCTGTCAGAGACTGGAATGCAAATGGAGGCTGGCTGCCTGAAGCTCAATCTGGCCAAGACTGCGGTGATACTGGCAGTTTGGGTGAAGCAACAGGAAGATA